TTTAAATCTCTGTCCTTTCGTGCCCTCCAATTCGTCTCGGCATTTCCAGCCGCCCCGCAAACGGCTGCGAGGCATCATTACACGGCAGCGAATGAACCTTCCCTCTCGCAGTAATTTCCGCACGGCCTAAATTAAAAACCGAGGCGTAAAATTACGTGGGAAGCCGCGAAGCCGTGCCCGACTTTGCGCCCATCGCGTGCCCCCCCCCGTGCCCTCCCTCTTTCCCCCCCTTCGCGCTGCGGTGCCCTCGGGCCCAGCGCATCCCCGACGGGGCGGCCGCGCTCAGATTGGCCCCGGGCGCGGTGTGATGCTCCCCCCATCCCAGACACGCTGTGCAACGAGCTGGACCAGGAGAGGAAAGCGCGCTACGCCATCCAGCAGAAGTTGAAAGGTACCGCGGTAGGACGGGAAGGGGGGGCACAGACGGCTGAGGGGGGGCCCGGGGGCTCCAGGGGGTGACGGTTCCGTCCCTTTGCAGAGGCTCACGACGCGCTGCATCACTTCTCCTGCAAAATGCTGACCCCGCGGCACTGCACGGGGAACTGCTCCTTCAAGCCGCCGCTGCTGCCCCAGTGAGCCCCCCCCCGGCGCCCCCCCCCCCCGAAGCCATGCGGGCACAGCCCACACAAGCCATTTCCACGAGGAGACACTTGTACATAGAGGACTCGGAGCCCGGCTTTCCTCGGACTGGCAATACGGCGGGGGGCGGCCCCGGGCCGGCCGGGGGGGAGCCGGGCCCTTCCCGGGCCTCCCCCTCCCCGCTCCGCCTCCCCCCTCCCTCCCTGTGTGTCCGCTTCTTCCACCCTCGCCCAGACTGGAAACAAAAGTGGCTATGTGCAATGGATATAAATGTACTGTGATTCTCTTGGTACAGTATTTGTCGGATTTTTATTTATTTATGATGTATATTTATCCCCCCCCCCCCCTCCCCGCCCCGGGCCCCCTCCTTTATCCCCCTTCCATGTAAATTCTGGATGTAACGGCACTTTAACGGGCGGACCCGCGACTCCGGAGGCAGAACATCGCTCGCCCGCTCTGGGGACAGACCCCCCCTCTGTACGTGATTTTGGTTCTTTAATAAAAACAGACTTTAAGAAGCCGCCTGGTGCGTGGGGCTGGCCCGGGGGGCGGGGGTATCTCCCCCCCGGGGGGGGGGTGGGCTCGCACGGCCCCGACGGCCGCCCCGGGGGTCTGCGCTGCCCCCCGGTACCGGGACTCTGAACCTGGGGGGGTGCTGCGAAGCTTTCCCGATCCCTCCTCCTCCTCGCCGCAGCCGGGAGCTCATTAATGCCCATTTATATGCTCGTTTCACACATGAAGGTATCCCATTAATGAGCTCTGAGAGCGGGCGCGAGGTGCGCGCACACCTATTACCCCCGAAATACCTGCTTTCAGCCCAGAATTAACCTCGCACCGCAGCGGGATCGGGAACGGGACAGGGACAGGGAGAGGGGAGGCTGCACCGGCGTCCCGGGGAGCTCCGGGCTGGAAGGGACCGGGCGGGGACTCTCCCCGGGAGCTGCGGGAGGGATGCACCGTGATCCCGCTGCCGAGGCAGGGACCGCGGAAAAGGATGCGGGGACAGGGAGCATCCCGAGGATCAGCAGCATCCCGGAGCCCGGGACCAGCGCGAGGGAAGAGGGTGGAAGGGGGGGATCACCCGCGGGGCCGCGCGTTGCCCGCCCCGGCGGGGTCTGAGCTCGGGAGCGCCGAGCGCGGCTGTGCCGTTAATTAGTTTGCGGGGCTCATTAGGCGGTTCCGCGGCCTGCGCCGCCACCGCGCGGGCACAGCCGGAGGTGCAGCCCCCCCCCTTCTCTCCCCGCCATTCCCGACCCCGGGATCAGCTGTGCCGGAGCAGGAGCAGCGACTCCCACCTATCACCTGAGGGGCAGGAAGCCCATCCCGGCCCGGGCACGCGGACGCGGTTGGCTGGGATGGAGGTTAAAAACCCTTGGGGTGGGAGCACAGATGGTTTTTGGGGATTCTCTTTGTTTTTCTGAGCTTCAGACAAAGTTCCCATGGCTTCTTTGCCCCATTCCTGGAAGTGTCCAAGGCCAGGTTGGACAGAGCTTGGAGCAACCCGGGCTAGTGGAAGGTGTCCCTGCCCATGGCAGGGGTGGAACAAGGGGGCCTTAAAGGTCCCTTCCAAACCACTCTGGGATTTTTGAACGCAGACATCTTGCCGAAGGAGGTGTCTGACAGGTGACCCTGAGGGGGAGCAGTGGAGCTGGTGGCATCTCTCATGCAGGTAAGAGCTTGGGAAGGGGGGGTCATCTGCTGGGAAACGGAGAGGATGTGTGAATCAGGGAGCAGAATCAAGCTCTGCAAACCAAGAGGTGGTCACTTGAGGGAATGAAACAGTTGGGCCCCTTTGGGCACCTGAGCCTCTTTCTTTGCATGTTCCTCTGGGCCCTCCTGGCTGGGTCACTGCTGGCACGTCGTGGGCTGGAGGTGACCCTGTGGAGGGACCCCAGAGGGGCCTGGCCTGGGTCCCTGTGTCCCTGCCCAGCCCTGCTGTGCCCACCTGCCCGGGCACACCCCGTGTGTGGCAGCAGTGCCTGCAAACACGGGGACAAAAATGAACTATGGTGTTGTATTAATATTTTCACACTACTTAGCTCTCATTAAAATGTACTTTGCAGAATTTAATATGCAACTTCAAATGACACAACGTATTAAGTGCTTAATATACTAGAAATTATGAAACTATTATAGTCTAAGTAATATGAAATAATTAGAGTGAATTAAACTTCATCGGCAGAATGAGGGAAAGGCTTCAAATTTTTTATTTTTATTTTTTTTTTGTCTCAAAATAGTTGAATGCAGTAATAGCCCCTGAAAATAAACAACCAGAGTTAGGATTTTTAAATAATTAAAGCAGGAAGAAGCCTGGAGTGTCTGTATTTGAGCCTGTGATGCATTTGGAAGCGGGGAAGCAGAAGGTCTGTTTGCAGTAGCTGATGGAGTTGTTCTTTCAGGCCAGTGGCAGAGCAGCTCCGAGGAGCTGCTCACCAGACCTCCAGCCTGGCCAAGGCTTGTCCCCATATGCTGCTTCTCTCTTGTGCACAAGGTTGGTGGTTGGAGCTGAGCAGACGTGGTGGCTCTCGGTGACAGAGAGGGTTCCACGTGGCCTGTGAGCTGGGAGACCCCTCAGCAGAGCAGGTCCCCTCTTATTGGGGGTGCCAACACCAGAGACCCTCTGTTAAACCCACAGGATGTGGCCTCTGGCTTTGGGAAGGGATTTGAGCCCCGGTGTGGGTGTTGGGGGTGAATCTCGGGGGCTTTTCTCGCAGGAGGGGATCCCCTGGAGTGGGAGTGCTCTGCAGCAGAGATGCAAAGCACCGGGCTGAGCTGCCAGGCTTGGGCAGGGGCTCTGCCCTGGGGTGTGGGAGGAGGGGACTGGGTGGGACTGCACTGCTCTGGCACCCCTGGGACGTGGAACAGGGCAGGAATCTGCTCTCTGTGTTTCACAGGCCCCAAACCCGTGAGGAGTGGGGGCAGCTCCGAAGGGGGTTGTCTGTCCAGCAGCAGCGTGGTGGAATTCAGAGGATGCCATGAATGAGGGGAGATTTAGGGTAGACATCAGAAAGGAATTCTTGGCTGTGAGGGTGGGGAGGCCCTGGCCCAGGTTTCCCAGAGAAGCTGTGGCTGCCCCTGGATCCCTGGAAGTGTCCAAGGCCAGGTTGGACGGGGCTTGGAGCAACCTGGGCTGGTGGAAGGTGTCCCTGCCCATGGCAGGGGTGGAATGGGATGAGCTTTAAGGTCTTTTCCAGCCTCCTCCATGATTCCATGGTGACGCCAGGAGGTGGCGTTCCCAGCGCCGCTCTGCTCCGCGCTCCTCCCGGAGTTTGGCTGGGTTTGAACTGAGGTTTTGTGCTACTTCCATGGAAACTACCAAAACTTCCCCTTGGGAATGCGCGTCTGAGCCGGAGCGGGGAAGCACAGGCAGCTCAGCCTGGTCCGTGGGCTTATCCCAGCCCGGGGCAGGACGTGGCATTCACCCTCACAAGGTCCCTGTCCTCCCTCCAGCCTGTCCCAGTCTCTCTGGGACGGTCCCGTCCTCCCCAGGATCGGCTGCTCCTCCCAGCGGGTGTCCCATCATCCAGGTGGATAATAAGGACAATATTGATCCCGAGGGATGGCTGCCAGCTGGACTTTGTGCCTGGACACATCCTTTGCTCCTGGCAGTCTGGCCAGTTTTCCTACTATTCCACTTATCCAGGCTGTATCTCACCGGTTGGGCTCCGAGGACACTATGGAAGCTGTGCCAAAGGCCCTGCTGAAGCCAAGGCAAACAAACCCCTTGATTTCCCCTCCTCCACAGGGCCCTTTCATCCCAGAGGGCACCAGGGAACGATTTGTGCCTGGGGAACCTGCACTGGCTGTTCCCAGTCACCGTCATCTTGGCCTCTTGGAGCACATTCCAGCAGGATTTGCTCCATCACCTTCCCAGGGCGGTGCTGGTGAGGCCAAATGTTCTGCACTGACCACTCTGGTTCTTCCTCCTCTCCCAGACCAAGGCTGGGAGTCACGTTTGCTTTTTCCCAGTCACCAGCACTTCTGAGACCTTTGGGAGATGATCCAGCAGCCCCCCAGTGACCCTGGCAGGTCCCTTGGGTGCTGCCCACCCAGCACCACGGATGTCTGTTTGTCCAGGGAGCCAAAGTGAACCTGAAATGTTCGGCTATGACCCAAATGTCTTGTGAGATGTTGGCTGCCTCTGCCTCACCCCAGCAAATCCCAAAAAGCTCTTTTTCCGGGGAAAAATCCCAGCTATTTGAGGCTGTGTCTGGCTCCAAGGGCTGGGTGCAAGGTGGGTGTTTGGTCCTTGCCTGGCTGGAGGTTCCTCCTGCCTCCATCTCCAGCGGTTTTGGGAAAATTTATTTTGAGCAATGATGTGTCTGGCTGGTGTCCTCTGGGTTGAAATTCAGTATTTTAGGGACAAGTGTGAACAGGACAGGAAGGAGCTGTGTGTGAACAGGATGAAGTGGCCACATGTGAGGAGATGTGGGTTTAATTAAATAGATTGAATTTTGGGTGCAAACAAGACTTTGTGCTGTGTGGACAAGAGAAGGGCGTGCACAGGGCAGCTCTGCCTCGCTTACAAAACCATTTATTTCCATGTAACAAAGTGAACTCTGTGGTTCTCCTGGAAACTTAAAACACATTTTCCTTCTTTTTTTTTTTTTTTTTTTTTTTTTTCTTCCTTCTTAAAAGCTGAAAATTCTTTGCTTTGGTCTCCTTTCTGACTCTTAATGAAGTCGTGGGATCTGCCTCCCCTCATCGTGCCTGCTGTTCTTGCTCTGCTTTGCTGCCCAGCCCTGTCAGAGGCAGTGCTGGGATGGGCCCTCCTCTCCCCTCTCCCAAATATTTCACACCTCCTGACACCAGCCCAGCTTCAAAGCTCACACCAAACACAGAGGGCCCACTGAAGGCCAGGCTTCTACTGAAGTCTGTCAGAGCTGAACATTACACATCCAAAGGTGGAATTTGACACTAACAAATGAATTCTCACTGTTTTTCCATGGAGGGATTAAGCTGCTGGTGCCACAGTGCGGGTGGATTAACTGGGGAGGGGGTGGGTGAGTGGGACTGATGCCTGTGCTGGAGGTTTCCAGTCCATTGAGTGTTGGAAGTAGCCGTGGGATGATGGGTCCCCAAGAACCTCACCCTGAAAATTTGGCTGCCCAGAGCCACTTCTCCTGTGCTGTAATCAAACGAATTGGTAGCCTGGGCAGGGGGCAGTGGGCAGGAGGCACTGCCCAGGGCTGGCACATGGAGCTGCAGGAGTGCTGGTCCCACTCTGCTCATTGCCAGCCCTACACAGGGTCTTGCACACCCCAAGGCCTGCCCACCCCTGTCCCCAGCATGTCTTGGTGGTGGTTCCTCATCCCAAATGGCCACTGGTGAGCTCTGAGTGACTGTGTGCCAGCCAGGACACACAACCCCAGAACGGGTCAGGTTGGAAGGCACCCCTGGAAGTCATCCAGCCCATCCTCCCTGCCCCAGCAGGGTCCCCAGGAGCAGCCACTCAGGGTTGTCTTTTGACTATCTCCAGGGAGGGTGACCCCACACCCTC